GTGGCGATACTTTACCATTATGTTGTTGATGGTTCGACAATCAACACACATTCTCCATGTTCCATCTTTCTTAGGTACTAAAATCACCGGAACTGCGCAAGGACTCATACTTTCTCTCATGAGTCCTTTCTCCATCAATTCCTCAACTTGTCTTTGAAGTTCCTTGGTCTCTTCCAGGTTGCTCCTATATGCGGGCCTATTTGGAATTGATGCCCCTGGAACAAAGTCAATTTGATGTTCGATCCCTCGGATTGGTGGTAAACCATGTGGTACCTCTTCGGGAAATACATCCCCAAATTCCTGCAAGAGAGAAACAACAACACTAGGCAACATGGGGTTAAGTTGGTTAGTGTTTAACAAGGTCTCCTTGTACATGAGTACAATCATCGGCTGTTTTGAAATCAATGCTCTCTTAACCTCACTTGTTTTTGCATAAAAATTTATTTGTTTCCTCTCGGGTTTTACCTCTTTGGCCATGGGTCTCTCTTTTACCTCACTCTCATTATGCACGACCTCACTCTTCTTTTCTCGCTCTTTGTTTTGTTCACTCAGTTGTTGTAACCTCACTTGGTCCTCATATACTTGTTTTGGTGTCAACGGAACTAAGGTGATAGTCCGTTGATTGTGTGTGAATGAGTACTTGTTGGTGAAGCCATTATGTTGCACACGCCGATCAAATTGCCATGGTCTTCCGAGAAGGAGATGTCCCGCTTGCATTGGTACCACGTCGCACAATGCTTCGTCCTCATACTTACCGACTCGGAATGGTACAACAACCTATTTTGTAGCCTTCACTTCCCCACTATTATTCAGCCATTGTAACTTGTATGGACGAGGGTGTTTTAGTGTTGTGAGCCCTAGCTTTTCAACCATCGAAGAACTAGCGACATTAGTGCAACTACCGCCATCGATAATAACGGTACATACCTTGTCTTTCACATGGCATTGAGTGTGAATGATGTTCTCTCGCTGTGCTTCCTCTTCCTCTCCTCTAGCTTCCATATTTAGAACTCGATGTGTAACTAGCCCAAGCATCTCTCCATGGGCTGCCCCAAATTCTTCTTCTCTTATGGGGGTGTCCTCCAATGGTGGCATATCCGCTAGATCATCTTCCTCTTCCGAATCAATATCTCCATTATCCCGGATCACCATCACTCGCCTGTTTGGGCATTGGCTTGCTATGTGCCCTCTTCCCTGACATTTGAAGCGCTTAATCTCACTGGAACGAGTAGGAGTAGGGGCTAATTTACCTTGAAAGGTTACTGGATTGGTGGCTGGTTTGTGCTCAGTTTTAGCCTTAAAGGGGGCTGGATCCTCGTCCTTCTTTGTGTAGTTCGGCCTCCAAGGGGTAGTACTCGGATTTTGAGGGGCTGGTCTTGGTCATGGACCACTCCTCTTGAGCTGCCTTTCAACTTTGATTGCCATATGCACCAAATCCTCCAATTGCACATAATGGTGTAGCTCGATTGTGTTGGCAATCTCTCGGTTCAGCCCATTCAAAAATCTGGCCATCGTTGCTTCTCGATCCTCCTCCACATTGGCTCTAATCATTGCCATCTCCATCTCCTTAAAATACTCATCTACACTCCGGTTACCTTGATGGAGACTTTGCAGCTTGAGGAATAGATCTCGGTAGTAGTGACTCGGCACAAATCTTCGTCTCATCACCCTTTTCAACGCGCGTAGTGGGGCGCCCAGAGGTCGGGAAGGGTCAACAATACACATTTTTATTTATTTTTTGTATTCTAAAATTAATAAATGATTTTTAGGAATTACTGCAACAAACGACACCATTTTTTATGAATATTCTATTTTTTATGACTTTCTCTATTTTTAGTCTTTAAAATAGAATAAAATAAAAATGAAGTCAAAAAATTCTAAAATTTTGCAGACACGATCCTTACATTTTTCTGAGCATGCCTAGAAAATATGGCATCAAAAATAAAAATAGAAAAACAATGTCAATAAGCCACCAGCGCACGCAGTGGGGCACCCAGAGGCCGGGAGGGGTAAAAATACACATTTTTTTTATGTTTTGCATTCTAAAATTAATAAATGATTTTTAGAAATTAATATAACAAACGACACCATTTTTTGATGAATACTCTATATTTTATGATTTTCTATATTTTTTGTCTTTGAAAAATAGAATAAAATAAACTCGACGTCAAAAAATTTTAAAATTTTGCAGACACGATCCTTGCATTTTTCTGAGCGTGGCAGTAAAAAATAGCCTCAAAAAGTACAAAGAAATAAAAATGATGTCAAAAACCCACCGACGCGCAGTTGGCACCCAGAGACCGGGAGGGGACAAAAATTACATTTTTATTGATGTTTTGCATTCTAAAATTAATACATGATTTTTAAGAATTAGTGCAATGAGCGACACTATTTTTTAATGAATATTCTATTTTTTATGATTTTCTCTACTTTCGTCTTTAAAAAATAAAATAAAATAATAACGATGTCAAAAAATTATGAAAGTTTGCAGACATGATCTTTAAATATTTTTGAGAATGCCTGCAAAAAATGGCCTCAAAAAACAAACTAAGAAAAATGATGTCAAAAAGCCCCCGACGCGCGCAGTGGGGCGCTCAGAGGCCGGGAGTGGTTAAAAATTCACATTTTTATTTATGGTTTGCATTCTAAAATAATAAATGATTTTAAGAATTAATGCAACAAGCGGCACCATTTTTTGATGAATAAAATAAAATAAAAACGATGTAAAAAAATTTTGAAATTTTGTAGACACAATCCTTACATTTTTTTGAGCATGCATGCATAAAATGGCCTCAAAAAATGAAAAAAAATGAAAAATGATATCGAAAAACCCTGGAGGGCGCAGTGGGACTCCTAAAGGCCGGGATGGGCCAAAAATTCACATTTTTATTTATGTTTTGCATTCAAAAATTAATACATATTTTTAGGAATTAATGCAACAAGCGGTACTATTTTTGTTGAATATTCTATTTTTTTATGATTTTCTCTATTTTTCATCTTTGAAAAGTAAAATAAAATAAAAAGGATGTCAAAAAATTCTGAAAGATTGCAGACACGATCCTTACATTTTTCTAAGCATGCCTACAAAAAATGGCCTCAAAAAATGAAAAAAAGAAAAACGATGTCAAAAAGCCCTTGAGGCTCGCAGTGGGACGCTCAGAGGCCGGGAGGGGTCAAAAATTCACATTTTTATTTATGTTTTGCATTCTAAAATTAATACATGATTTTTAGGAATTAAGGCAACATGCGGCGCCATTTTTTGATGAATATTCTATTTTTTATGATTTTCTCTATTTTTTGCCTTTGAAAAATAAAAACGATGTAAAAAAATTCTGAAATTTTACATACATGATCCTTACATTTTTCTGAGCATGGCTGCAAAAAATGGCCTCAAAAAAATGAAAACAGAAAAACGATGTCAAAAAGCCCCCAGCGCGCGTAATGGGGCACCCAGAGAGGCCGGGAGGGGTCAAAAATTCACATTTTTATTTATGTTTTACATTCTAAAATTAATACATTATTTTTAAGAATTAATGCAACAAGCGGCACTATTTTTTGATGAATATTCTATTTCTTATGATTTTCTCTATTTTCACATTCGAAAAATAAATAAAAAAATTACAAACGTTGTTAACAAATGTAGGGAACGTGTTTGATAGGAAAAATAGGAGTGTGCTTATAACTCAGGATTAAGATCATTCTATATATTACCATCGGCAGACTCAATTAGAATTTCTATACTTAACGAAAATTATCAGAAATTTATATTGTATCTATGTCCATGTTCTACATACTCTCATTATATGTAATACACTCATTAATTATCTTACCATATTAACAGTGTGGATAATCTCATTTTATTCTGAATGGGAATGACATGTATTAGAAATGTTTTAATTAAAGATTATGAACTTTAATTAAATTAATTACGAACATCGTTTTGATTATTATCCTTAAATGTTATCCTCTTGCATATAATACTTATATACAATATTTAAGGTCACATAAATAATCATGAAATTTTCATTGATATTCATAAAATATTCATTAATATATGCTCATAAAATAATGAATAAACTTTTTATTAAATAAATAATAAATATCAATTACATCTCATGTTTCTATGACACCATTCTCAACATCTCTGCTCACTTAATTTAAGAGTGCTTAAAAATTTCACAAAAATGAGCCAGCATAGTTGAAACTTAAACTAGACCATATAACGATCAAGGATAAAAATATCGACATTTTTACCGATATTTAATAGGGATGTAGTATCTTTTCCGTAGAGTATCCTGAAATTTCCACAGATATTTCCATAAAATATCAATATTTTTACAAAAAAATTTCCATTTCAGAGTAAAACATAATGTTAAATGACTGAATATCGTAGAAATTTTAGAAAAAATTCGCGAAAATATCAATAAAATTTCCATAGAAATTTCTGCAATTATATATATATATATATATCATTTTACTTTTAAAAAATCAAAAAAAAAATATGACATTTAAAATTATGTAAGGAACGAATCAAACTCCATGTCTTCGTATCAATATGTTTAGACAAAGAATGTGTCTAAAATACCTTTAAACCTCCTAGAAGCTCCTTTTAGTATTGATAGTTTACTATCATGTATAAAACTATATATGTATGATATATGTACTATGTTGACTTGCTGTGCTTAATATTTATGGTATTATGATCACACTTTACCTTACATATTTATCAAATAATTAGTATTTTAATTGAGAATTTGATCTCATTAATGTATTATTATCTATTTTCAGACTTCTTAGAGTCTCACTTTATTTAAATTATTTTAATATAAATTTTCATTTTTTACGTCAATTTCCACCGATATTGATATTTCGTCAATATTTCTATAAAATTTAAAAACTGATCTTTCCATAAATATCGATCTTTTCATCTTGATAACGATATCAATATATTCTTCATTGATAATGATAACAATTTTTTTTTCTTTTTTAAAAAAACACCCTTTCACAAAGCAAAAAAGCTTATTTTTATAAACTTTAGTATCGTCCTAACCCATACCAAGTACCGCAACCCGTACAGATAACTGCATTACTACTATTTATTTTCTTAACTCAAATGATAATAACAATAATAATAATATGGAGCAGGAAAAAAAAAAAAGAAAGAAAAAAAAGAGAGAGAAAGAACACGGTGGTTGGGAACACGGTGGTTGGGGTAAGGTGTATCCCCATGTCAAGCACTTCTCAGATAACTTCACTCATTTGTAGTTGTAAGCTATGCCTCTCAGTTCTTTCTGGGGACGCCAAGTCTCGTCCGGAAATCATCCTCCATGAGAGGAAGGCCGTCGCGCAACTTGACCTTTGGTTCCCACCCAAGTAGCTCCTTGGCTTTCGTGATGTCTGGCTTCCTTTGGCGAGGGTCATCGGGAGTGTTCTCCACCGATATGATCTCCACATCTGGGTTGATGAGCTGAAAGTAACAGAACCAAAGTTGTTTTAGCTGCCAAATTTTTTCTTAAGAGCACTCATTTTTCTGGTGTTGAAAAAACAAAGTACATGAATAGACTTTGTCTAGGTCAATGATCACCATTCATGGGGGACGATATTGACAGGCTAAAAACATTTTGCAAGGCAGATTAAACTGAAGATTTTGGAGTGAAATTAGGACTAACCTCCTTAACAGTCTCCGCAAGCTCGAGCATCGTGAATTCACCTAAAAATAAATCAATTATTAATCTGGATTTCCACCATATAACTAAATATTACCTAGTTAAGTAATCAGAGATCATGTAACCTGGATTTCCAATGTTGATCGGACCAGTGTTCTCTCCTTCCATAAGCCGAATAAGGCCATCAACCTTCAACATTTGGACAAATTAATTTTATTTTCAATAACACCAACCTCTACAGACAATTCATAGTCTACATTAACTCAAAAAAAAAAAAAAAAGAAAAAAAAAAGATATTCAAGTCTTGCATACCATGTCAGACACATAACAGAAACTGCGCGTTTGTGTTCCAGGTGCTTGAACGGTCAAGGGCTCACCACTACACAAATAATAATGTATGTGATGAAGATGTTAGAAATAGAAAGTACATATTCGTGAAGAAACTAAGTGTTTAACTAATCCCAGCCTCACAAGAAACATTGATGAGAAGTAAAAAGGACATCACAGGGGACATGACAAACAATTTGTGTAGCACCAGGTGGGTACGTAGAGCATTGTTTAGGAACTACTGGAACGTACCGGACAGCTTGTGCTATGAAATTGCTAACAACTCGACCGTCATCAATATTCATACGAGGTCCATAAGTGTTAAAAATTCGAGCAATCCTTATCTCTGTCATGAGGAAATGATACAAAAGTCGGAAAACATTGAGCCTAAACACTACATAAGAAAACCATCTAATAGGCAAAAACAAAAGATGGGGAAAGAAGGGAGGGTGAGGCGGACAAGGATCTTACCAATCCCATGCTGCCTATGATAGTCAAACATCAAAGTTTCAGCAACTCGCTTTCCTTCATCGTAGCAACTCCTAACTCCTGCGTAAATTTCCAAGCAGATGATAAATAACAAATATATGTGACACATGGAAGATTCTCTTGCCTTCATAAGATCACCAAAACTAAAAACAATCCGTTTTTGTCATATCAATATATCAGCAATAAAATGAGTAATTCAATTACCAATAGGGTTGACATTTCCCCAATAGCTTTCATCCTGAGGATGCACAAGAGGATCTCCATACACTTCAGAAGTTGATGTAAGCAAAATCCTGTTGCCCAATAGTCATATCATTAGTAAAAGATATATAAACACGTGCCTATTTCAAAGATATGGAACGAAAGTCAACCTTGCACCAACTCTCTTGGCAAGTCCCAACATATTCAAGGTACCAATCACATTTGTCTTTATTGTCTGTCATGAAAAACATATTCATAAGTTAGATTCGCTACTCAAAACCAGTAAAATTGACACTATGCTTGATGCTTGTGTCAAAAGGAGCCTTAGGAAAAAAATAAAAGGCCACAAAAGGGAGCTAGCTATTCTACAAAAGATGAAAATAAATCCTTCATAACTGCTAATCTAAGGCCACAGATGACCCTTTGTTTTCCAAATAGATATCAAATATAGATATATTCACCTTTACAGGATTGTACTTGTAGAAGATTGGAGAAGCAGGGCAAGCAAGATGGTATATTTTATCAACCTCAACTAGCAATGGCTCCGTGACATCTGCACGGGAACAAACAAATATGAAAAGACCGAAACAAGAGATTATTGCGTCATTAAATAAAAAAAAATGATAAAAAAACATTTAAAGACCCAAAACTTGACCACTGCAAGAAACATCTAAAGTGGGATAGGCGAATATCTGGAAAGTACTACATACCATGACGAATAAGCTCAAATCTTGGATGCCCAATCCATTTTTTCAGGTTATCCTTCGAACCGGTAAAGTAATTGTCCACGACAATCACCTGAAATGCAGAAAAGACAGAACACATAAATGTTTGTGAGATAATAATAGACAAGTGAACTAATATTCTCCTTTTGGTAAATCATCAGCTCCAATAACAGTCATGTGCAAAAGATCTCACTCTCCTTAATTGTTCTATGACATTATTCTTGATACCAGGAAGAAGAAGAAGAAGAAAAAAGTACCTCATTCTTTTCATTTTCCATCAACTTGTCCACTAAGTGAGAGCCAATAAATCCAGCTCCTCCAGTTACCAAGATTCTCATGTTGGCCTGCCAATAGAAAAAAGAACACATCTAATAAAACTGAAACCTTGCAAACAAAAGGAACAAATCTCTCCACGGTAGATCAAATATGATAATCCAATATCAATAGAGAAGACCAAGCAATTCTAGAAACAAATTTCCTTAATATAAAGCTATATAATTTAATAGTCTCAGAGAAAGCTTACAACATGTTACCCTTCAAGCCTCCATAAGCGCTTTTATAAGTCTTAACAGATATTTTATTCAATTTTCCGCAAAACCAGATCAGGCCTTAAACACACTATATTGTCCCTTGTTTTTAAACTAGTCGAGCTTGCTGCCGCTGACACTTAAATGCAAGTTCAAAAACAAGTCACTTTTGATCACATTTGTTGTGAATCTCATTCTGATGAATCTGATATAGATGCTAAGACATCAGAAAGAACTACAGAACGGTCGTGCAAATTGCAAGACAATCACGAGTACATTCATAATGCTGTTTTCATCCTCACCATCCAACTTAACATGAGCTAAAAATTTTCAGTTCCAGAAACTTAGAAGAATTCATCATCTAATCGTATAAAAAAAACATATGTTTAACACATCATGACGTAATCAGGTACAGACTAAGAACAGATCAAACGGAACAAACTGGTAAAATATCACAAGAGAACGAAAGAAAAGTTGATTTGTCACAGATCATACCTGGAAAAACTTGGCGTTTCTTAAAGGAGACGGGGTTGGAGGTGGTTTTGTGGCCACATGGCTACCCCCATTTGAAGTTTCTTTTGCCATTCCTAAGATCTTACTCCAATCCTGCACCTCAAACCACTAAATTACTAAAAATTTATAATAATATTGCAGGCTCGGCCTAGCGGTAAATCCAACATTACAATAACATTCGGGAAAAAAAAGGGAAAAAAAAAAAACACAAGTGAATGGACAAAAATAAATAATTAAATAAAGTGTTAACTTTCCACGGAATTGACAAAATCTCACCACAAATTCATTAACGCATGTATGAATATTACTGAAACAAAGAAGATTTTCAACAAATCACAAACACACTTCCGAAAGAAACGAACAGCAAGATTATTTCTTCCAGATTTTGAAATAAAAAAAAAATCAACTCATACAGACTACCTGTGCCTGTTCAGAACAATTCCCAGATATCCTGTGTGTATTTTTGTGATTTGAGCAATATCGGGGACTCTTATATATAGGATCATAATAGGCTCAAATAGGTGTTATAAGAATGATAAATTAATTAAAATTGAGGAAAAAAAAAACTAAAAAAACAGTACTACATGCACCAACCGGAGAGAGAGATATGTAGAAATCGGTTACAGAAATTCTTCAAAAACACGAAAAGTGGGAAGTCATCAAAGCCTTCCCTCCTCGTGATGAGCGAGACCCGCACCTAATTTGTGTCAGATCTGAGATCTGAATCTCACGTTGTTCTCATAAAACAATGCTCAAACACACCCCCCAGAAAATAATTCATAACGTAAAAACCCCCACCAAAAACAAAAAAATTAAACGATAATTAGAAACAAATTCAATATTACCTTTGAGCAAATAATCAAATTCAAAAAACCAGTCTTCGAGTCTTTGGTTTCAAGCTTTGCAGTGCAATGTGACTGGAGATTTATATTTAACACAAGTCATGAATATTTGCATATACGGGAAAATTTCTACTGTATATATATAGGATTAAATGCATAATAGGAATATATTATTTGATAATAATGACGATAAATATAAGCTTATAATTTCATCGGTCTTCTTTAAAAAAAAATTCTTATATCAAAATATGTATTTAATACATTAGATTCTTTATAATTTCATACAGATACCTTAACAAAAAATAATTATTGAAATATTGATAAAAATGATCATCAACTTATTTAAAAAGTGACACTTTAATTCTTTATTTTTTCTTAATAAACAACTCTTAATTTTTTTAAACATGTGCAATATAATCTTTTTTGTTAACATTTATTAAATTTTTCATTAAAAATTACACGTGCCCTCACATGACTTTCTAATACGGAGCATATTGGTAAAAAGTCCTATTAATTGAGTTTTGTTTCTTTAAAAACGGCCATTCTCCAAAAACAAAAAAGCTTCAACGGCCATTCTCCAAAAACAAAAAAGCTTCAACGGCCATTTCTCTGCTTCCACGTACTGGACCACTCCCATCATCCGAGCATGGAGCTTCCGACCCAACTCAATAGAATTCGTATCGATACAAGACTGAAGTAAATTCATATAAGTTCAGGGTTTTAGTTTTACCTTCGACCCACGTTCGGCAATGGCGTCGAGAGCTTTGTGGTCTACGAGCTTTTGTGGAGAGCTTTCCAGCTCATTATCGCCTTTTGTGGTCTACGAGCTTTGGATATCCATTAAGATTCAGCTGTTTTTTTTTAGATAAATTGTAATATATTTTAATTAAGATTACAAGTTGTTTAAGTGTTAAAACATGAAAAATACATATTAAAAAGATTTTAAAAAACACTGCAACGGGTTTATAAACGCTGCAGCAGATAAACTACACAAAATTAGGTAATTAATTTAATAAATTTATTAAATTTTATTAAATTTTATGAAAATTAACATTAGTTTATTTTATTATTTTATTATTAATGTAAAACCAATTAAAATTTTAATCTAATTTTTTTAATCATCAAATAAATTTCATACAAATTTTAATCTAATTAGCACATATTCAAATTCTAGTTTAAATTTCCAATTCGCAATTCTAAATCTAAAACTATAAACTAAATTCAAAACTCAAAATAAAACCACAAACCACAACAAATACCAAAATCAATTTACAAAATAGTAAAATATTAACTCATAAAATCCAAACCCACAAATATCGGGGGTTGGAAAACGAAAAGGCAGCAGGAAAGGGAGAGCGCCTGCGGCCGGAAAACGACGAGTACAGTCAAAAAAGTGGGCGGCGAGGGGGAGATAAAAACTCCGCTTTTTTGGACTTTTTTTCTCCACAAATGAAAGATTTTAGGAGAGAACAATATATTTAAGCTATTTTCAGTATTTTTAGACAGTTATTGGAGGTTTTGGACGGAGAAAATCAGAGAAAACGTGAGAGCTCCCCGAAAAAAATGGCAGAAGGAGATCTGCGATCGCATTTATACAAGTGACCTTTTGCAACGACAAATGTTGTTGTAAAAAATATTAAATAGTCATCGCAATTAATATAAAAATGACGTCGTTTTTCTTCACCTCATTAATATTTCTGAGAATATTCTTGAGGAATATACTTGTACTCATTTTTTGCGACGACTTTGTTAAAATGTCGTCACAAATCATTTTAAGGAAACCGCCAAAGTTTACGCCCCTTTTTTTGGGAAAAATTAAATTCTCTGTTATTTGCGACGACATTATTAAGCAAGTCGTCGCAAAAGATAGTCGTTCTTGATAGAATTTTCTGAAACCTTTTTTTATGACAACACGTGTCGTCGTAAAAACAGTCGTTCTAAAAAGAATTTTCTGGAACCATTTTTTGCGATGACTTTTCAATATGTCGTTGTAAAAAATAAAAAAAATATATATATCTAGAACCTATTCGCGGGAAACCAATAAATTTTCTGCCCCTTTTTGGCCACGTCACTGCCAGCTGTAAGTATCAATATTTGTGACGATATGTCACAGTAAATAATGGACAAACTGGCGCAAGATTGGTTTTGGCGCCAATGGCTATTAGCGACGACATGTCGTCGCGAATAATTTGTCATAATTTTAGCGACAATATGTCGTCACAAATAGTGAACTTTTGTACAACGACATGTCGTCACAAATAGTGAATGCCATGACAAGTCGTTCAAAAATTTTGTTTTCTTTTTGGCGACGGTATGTCATCACTAATATTATAATTTTAGCAACGATAAATATCATATCTAATAATGTCATCACTAATAACCCTTTTTGTTGTAGTGACAATGCATGGCATACATTAAGCTACCAATCGCATCAGCATATTCAAGCTGTGTCACGCTCGGCCTGCATTCTCTAATAACTTAATACTAGAATCATATGGGGTACTCGCTTCTTTAAACTTCAAATGATTGAATATAAGAAGCACCTTCTCAATGTAATGAGATTGACACAACGAGTAACCTCCACTATGCTTCCTCACTTTTACACCTAAGATAGTATCTACGTCACCAAGATCTTTCATCTTAAATTGTGAAGTTAGATATTTCTTGGTATCATTTACCCCTTACATGTTTGTTCCAAAGATAAGCTAGTCATCAAATATAAACATATAATCACACCAAAATTATTTGTAAATTTAGAGTATATGCATTTATCTGCATTATTATACTTAAAACCATGAGATAAAATGACATTATCAAATTTCTCATGCCATTATTTTGGTGCTTGCTTTAAACCATAAAGCGACTTGACTGACTTGCAAACATTCTTCTCATTTTCAGGCAATACGAACCCTTCGGGTTGTTCCATATAGATTTTCTCATCAAGATCACTATTTAGAAAGGCCTTCTTAATATCCATTTGATGCACATGCAAATTGTATATTGATGCAATTACAAATAGCACTCTTATGGATGTCAATCTAGCTACCGAAGCATATGTATCGAAATAGTTTATACCATGTTTTTGTTTAAAGTCCTTGGCTACCAATCTAACCTTGAATGTTTGTATAGACCCATCGGCATTGTACTTTCTTCTAAACACCCATTTGTTGCTTATTGGTTTTGATCCCGAAGGGAGATCAACCAAGATCCAAGTTTGATTCGACATAATCGAGTCTATTTCATCATTCACCGCCTCTTTCCAAAAGGATGCATCCCTTGAAGACATAGCTTCACTAAATATCTTTGGATCTTCTTCTACATTAAGCAACAATGCTATTTTATTAATTACACAATTTCTATTTCCTTCAATCAAAAAGGTTAAGGCTTGAGATGAAATAAAATCCAGTGCTAAGTCCTTTTCTTTTCTTCCATGTTGACTTCTCCTCGGTTCGAAAGTTGTCATAGACTCTTTCCTTTTATTAGTGAAGGTACCGGGAGTATCAACACATGGTTGATCAACATTAGATTATAATTCAATGGAAGAATTAAGCCGAAATATTTGCAAGCCTCAGGTCCATTTGTGCGCTGCAACGGAAATTCTGCAGAAAATAATGTTTTCATGAGTTTATGTGATCTAAAACATTTTGAACCATTACATCCATTGGTGATATGTTTTTATACATATATGATCACCAATTAGCAATAGATATAACTATTGTAATAGGTGTATTAATCCATGAAATAATACCTTTACATTGAAAATGTACCTTTATGTGAATGGTTGTAATGTTTAAAGAGAATGCATTCATTCATGAAATGGCACATCTGTCTTTATTAATTCTCCAAAAAATTTACAGACTTAATGAATGTTCTGGAACTCAATATTATTGCTCGATATTGTGTTCAAGGGTTTGTTGTATCTTAGGGGTAATTTGCCATTAAAACTCATTAGCAAACTTTGAGAAGTGAGGTCAAATAAAACCTTAAAGGAAAGTATTCATATACGCCTCAAACCCTCTCTTGTTTTCTGCATTCTTTTCACCCTCTACACTTAAATTCTCCAACATATATTTGCCACTCGCAACTCTGCTCTCCGATCACCGCTCTCTCGAACTCCGTCGCGGCTTTGAAGAACGCACCATCGCCAAACCTCCTCTTGACCTCTAGAAACTCTCCCAGCGATGCAAGCTCCGTATCGCCATCATTGCGGCACAAGCCCCACCACCGCCGCCTCCTCTCTGCCACAACTGCAACCTCCTTCTTAGTCTTCGCCTCCCTGCAGTTTCTCGAGCCGGTGACAGTGGAGGATTGGGCGGCCGAGGTCAAGATCGAGGCTTCACGGCAACGCTGCACCGGTGCCTAGAAGGTGATCGCAGGGAAGCTTACGCCCATCAGCGTCCCAATATCATGCTTCTATCGTGGAAGAAGGAGCCCGTGGACTGCAAAAAGATCTGCGATGATTACCTCGGTGTCGAGATCAGAGGAGGAAATGTAAGAGTTGGTGGGAGAGGAAAGTAGAGGAAGGAGATCATTTGTTGTTGATGGCTGTTGTTGCTTTTGTTGTTGTTGTTGTTGTTGTTGTTGTTGTCTTCCATCGTCGGCGACGGGAGATTTGGAGATGAAATTTAGGGAAAGAAGAAGAAGAAGAAGTCTTTCTAATGGGGGCATTTAAAGTCATTTTATTGGAAAAAAGGATAACATGATGGATTACGTGACACGTTTTGTGAAGAATTTAACATATGTTAACGGAAAAGACCAAATTGCAGCTGTTTAAAAGGGTTGGGGGGTCGTTTTGCCAAGAAAAAAAAATGGACACTGTCACTTACTAAACATGTTGGGGACTATTTTTGCCAATAACCCATAATTTTTGGATACCTTGAGAAATTTTTTGAATGTGAAATGTACATTTCACCCTTATTTTTAATTAATTAGAAACTAAAATTTTTTAAACATATTTTAAAATATGCTTTAAATGTTTCAAAAATTGAGATTTTTTATGGTTTTTTAAAATATTTTTAATATGTTTTTTAAATCATAATAAATTAAGTAAATGATATAAATGATAGTTCACGCCTTAAAAACCAATTTTCTAAAACATTGATGTATCTGCATGAAATTATCAAAAACACGAAATACTAAATTTATATTTTGATCTAAATATGGTACCAAAATGAAATTATCTTATAAAAAATTCAGTGTTGTGTGATCATTTAAGACTATTCAGTAATAATGACATGTCATGTGTTAACGTCTAACGCATGCTTTGATTGAGCATTTTGAAATTGGATGGTTCTATGCACACACATATTTTTGTTGTCTACATCCCTCTCCCCGTTAAATTAAAATTTTTATGATAAAAAGATCTTAAATTAAAAATTTTGATGCACACACCCTTTTTTACCGTTTCCGACGGTGTCCTTTAATTTCCTTGTGGTAATGTACTTTTGACCCTTGGGGGTAATTTTGGTATTAAACATGTTGGGCATTTGACCTATTTTACTCTAAAAGGATAAAATTTTAAAGATTAGAATTCAAAAATTCTTAATGGTACTGTTTTAAAGGTTTTTGCTAAGTAATTAGTGGTTGTACCATGTTTTTTACCCATGATCAAGTTATGCCAATGAGGGTTAAACTCTCCCGTTAACTGTCATGGGGTCAAAAGAAATTAAGGAGTTGTTCTTTTGGAATGAAATTTAGAAAAAATTTGAACTCGAGTTACAACTTTATTTAAGTTCATATTCTTTTGTAAAATTTGAATTTGAACTCGAGTTTGGTGTTAAACTCGAGTTCAAGTTTCTCTTTCAACTAGAACTCAAGTTAATGAACAGTATTTTTTTTATTCTTAAAAATGTCATAACTTTTTCATTTTAATTCTGATTGAGATGATTTTTTTCTATGCATTCACAACGAAAAGATGAATAAAACCCCACCCATATACCCTATTAAAATTTTTCATCACCATTGAGTTTTTATTAAAATACTATCTAAATACAAATTTAAATTTTAACCCACCCAAACACAAACTCAAAAAGATTCTCAATTCAAATCATAACTCAAATGAGCACATCTAAATACAAATTCAAGTTACAACTTCAACTCAAGTTATAATTTAAACTCAACTCAAGATCATCACTCAAATCACCTTAACTCAAAAATGCAAAAGAACAACCCTTAAATTTGTGTGGACCAAAATATCCTCAAAATAATTAGGGTTATTTTTTTCCCCTCTTTCTCTTCTTCTTTCTCCCTTCTCATCTCGCCTGCCCTACTCCCTTATTCGCTCTCTTTCCTTTTTTTCTCTCTTTCCATTTTCATCTATTCGCCTCCTCCACCAGCCATACCCAGCAATTCTCTCTCTTTCCCTTCTCCGTTTGCCTCTCTCTCTCTCTCTCTCTTTCTCTCTCTCCCTCTCTCTCTCTCTCTCTCTCTCTCTATGTGCCTCCCCTTCTCACTGACTCTACCAGAGTTGCGGAACCAGTGATGGTGCACGAAGATCTGGTCGCCAAATTTCGTGGCACGCGGAGTCCGAGCCACTATTCTCACCGATGAGCAGAGGAATATTGGATATCCATGCGATCTCTTCACCTTGACGGAGAACGTATGTCAAGCTTCTCCGATTGCCCTTCATCGATCTTTGGACGGAGATCTCCTCCGGTCTCTTGCCCCTATCCATCTACGCATCTCGCCATTCGTAGCACCATGGCCAGATTTGCAAAGCAAAATGGATTTCTTTTTTTTCTTTTTTTTTTGCATTATGCAATCTCTTTGCAAGTTTTTTTTTTTTTTTTTTTTTCAAAAAATGACTTTGGATTTGTTTTGTAAATTATTCGCGTACTTTTTGTGATTTACTGTGATTTTTACACAGCCCGTAACGGCGGTTTTCGATGGATACCGGGTAGTACAGGTTTCCAGCGATCTGTTTTGTAAATTATTCGGGTATTTTTTCTCTGATATGTGTCTGAATTTTGTGGTTTTTTTATGTTTTTCAAGTGTTCCGGCGACGGAACGGTCATGTTGCCACCAATATTGGCAGTTTTCAGCCGGTATCGTTTTGGATACCTACTGGTATCAGTGGCGGATACAGATGTCTAAGTGGACATCGGCGGTCACCTATTGGTAACCAGCTGGTATCACAGCGGTCACCGGTTACCGTTAGTTGTCCGTCGATTACTGCCGCCAAGATTGGCTATTGTTCGTCGAGTACCGACGGGTATCTCAATTGTATACTAATATTATGGCTGAATACCAACCAGTATCTTAAAAGGTATATTTAACATTTCTAAATATTATAGTGTAATGATATGATTATATTATTTTTAATAACTGTTTATATCTCTTGGTAAATGTCAATCTAATTTTAAAAATTTTAAAACTTGTGATGTTCTTAGAAAATGCCCGTTACTCTAAGATTAAGAACCCAATGGACAGGACATGCCCCAACATATGTATAATTATTTTTTAGGCGCTCCGGTAATTCCTCTTCTTGTTTACTCTCGTTTTCAGTTTCCTCGTTGGAAAATTTGGATCCAGTAAATTGCATCACCGGCTCTCCTTAGTTACATTGTAGTTTTTGGAGTCTGCTACATTGTGACTTTTGAGATTCGATCCTTTCTCACAGTGGTTTTCGTCTCTCTCAAATCAACCAAAGAAGATACCTCATTTTAATATAAGTTGTTTGGTTAGGAGATTAATATTCCGATTCGAATCATGATTCGTGGTTCGTTATAGTATTTTTTTTCATAAAAAATATACATAAATTAAAAATAATTCTAATATCATAATTCTAATTCATGAATTAAATATTTTCGTCTCTGTCAAATTCAGATCCGAAAAAATTCTCATTGTCTTTGTTCGCTTTCACTCCCATTCATCCACGGATTTTTTATTTTTTTTGTCGTCGTCATGATTTGGGTTTATCGGCTATCTCTTTCGTTGTTATTAGCGTGCGGAAGACTAGGGATTTTGTTCATTTCCCGCTTTCACCTATTTGTAGCGAATTAAATAAAACGTATGGTTTAATTTGGCCAATTTCACCAAGAGGTGATTGCATAGCGGAGTGGATATCGCGTTAGACTCCGAATCTAAAGGTCGTGGGTTCGAATCCCACTGCGATCACACCCATCACATTGTTATTCATCTTGCGTCATTTACAGTTTAACATGTTTTAGCGTTTTTCGGCTCAATCTTCAAAAACCACTCGTGATAATCAGGCTGGGAGTTGTATTTACAGTTTAACATGTTTTAGCGTTTTTCGGCTCAATCTTCAAAAACCACTTGTGATAATCAGGCTGGGAGTTGTATTTACAGTTTTACATGTTTTAGCGTTTTTCGGCTCAATCTTCAAAAACCACTTCTGATAATCAGGCTGGGAGTTGTATTTACAGTTTAACATGTTTTAGCGTTTTTCGGCTCAATCTTCAAAAACCACTTGTGATAATCAGGCTGGGAGTTGTATTTACAGTTTTACATGTTTTAGCATTTTTCGGCTCAATCTTCAAAAACCACTTCTGATAATCAGGCTGGGAGTTGTAGCTAGATAACGTTTTAGTTTGAATATGATGAAAAACTTATGGTCTAAAACTACGCAGTACTGGTGAGGTATTTTGGGTAATTTACTAAAGAATTCTCCTTTATTTGGCTCCTTCAAATTACTCCGTTGTGATATGATAGATCCTTTAAGCATTCATTTACCAGGCGACCTTTTCTGCACACCAGACACAAATGCAAACTTATCAAAGTAAATGAGATAAATCTTAAAAAGAAAAAAACTACTTTTAAATGACGTAAGAACGACCTTGAACTTTTACAGCTTGAAAGGGAAGCCAAGTTTGTCTTACATTCTCTCCAAGGTTTATTTTGTATTACCTAAATACTGACTACTTTCTTTCTCATTCCTATTTACTTGCTATCAACTACTTTCCACTTTTGTTATTTTTAAACAAGTAAAACTCAAACCACTGTCTTCACACGCCCTAATAGTAGATAATAGTAAGATTTGGAGGCCTTATCCAACAGTGTTAGCTCTTTGACTGTTGTACTAAGACTGGCCCAGCAATGTGCCGAGCAAGAAAACTAATTGATAATAAAGGGTAAACTCTAAAGTTAAAAAGAAATCCAAGAATTAAAAGGAAAAAAAGAGCTTAAATTAAAAGTCTTTGAAAAGCAGAAAATATCAACAAAAAATAACAATCCACTGAAGAAAAACCTAAAATAGAAATAAGATTATGTAAAATAGTGATGCTTTTCATACCGCTGAAGTAAATGCATGTTCACATAACATTCCAATAAAACAAGGAAACAGAACCAAAAAAAAAAAAAAGGAAACAAATCTCATATTCCATATCAAGATGGTCAATCCTACCTCAAAGCAAGTCTTCATGATGTCTTCATTCTCCAATATTATTCTGACGTGATTATCTGTAACCCATTAGATGAAACACATCAATTACTGAAACAGAGATCACACGAATCATCAAAAGAATGGAAATAACAAAAGAAAAGATAAATAAATAGCTAAAGAACATGCTTTGAAAATGCCGAGGGTAATAGCCAACCTGTAACTCACCATATTAAGTTATGTCAGATCTCCACAGCTGGGAATAAATTGCTATATGGAAGGAAAAAAAAAGTACAAAATGAGTATGCAAAGAAATTAAGTAAATAAATAACATCCTTTGCGGAGAGAAAATATATATATCTTTGTGGAGATAGGGAGAGAGTGTGGACTGTGGAGGCAAGAAATATTCAAGACAAAACATAATTTTCGATGGGGAGCGATTCCATTGGGGGCCAAATCATCAAAATTAGCAACAATGCTTAAAAGTGTACATGTATATCTTAATTTTGAAATGCGATATGTGATTGTCCTCAATGATTTGTCAAGGTAATGACATAAAAATACCAAATTTAAAATATTTAAGATTGTTAGGAGGTGAAAAATTTTGTCCAAATTGATTAATATGGGATCAAATAAAATTTACAAAAAGTAAAGCCAGCCAGCTATGACTTCTGTGCATTTTCATTGTTGAGAACTAATAATAATATAAGCGTTTACCTCATAGACTCCAATACTACAACGACGACGACGTAATAATAATAATAATAATATAAGCCTTTACCTCATAGACTCCAATAAGCGAGAGTCATCCCTTCCTGGTGAACTACAATTTGCTAATGACAAAATTTCATTGTAGATAATGTTCTTAGTCCATTCAGAGGCAGAAGGATCATCAAGATCTGTTTTGATAAGTATCTTGATAGAGTCAACTGTTCTTGCTCGAGACATTGCAACATTGAAATATATGAATTAACAATCATATTATATCAAATAAATGCCTGAGAATTAGAAATCCCTATCATTCAAACAACTCCAAATAAAATCAGTCATTAAATGTCTATCTTTAAACATTGCTTTTATCTGACCAATTGCACAAACTATGAAATTTGAAAAGAGGCAACTGATCAAATTTAAGAGAAGAAAGAAACTGATTTTAATAGGAAGCATCAATGTCACTTGTGGTGCAAAACAACAGACTAACAGCAAAAATTGAAATGTTTAACACGATGCATTTAAACCTCACACATTAACCGAGGTATATTCGGGAGACACAGTTGTACCTTTCTAAAGTATTTCAGTTACCTAACCTTTAACTCGGCGTTCTTTCTTTTTTTTTTTCTTTTTTTTTTTCTTTTTTGTCTCCGCAGTACCAAATTAAAGTATATGTTGAAGTTTCTCCACAATACTCCACAAAATAGCATTGAGAAAGGGACAAAGAAAAAAGGAAACAAATAATAATAATAACTCCATGGCATACATTGTTCTCCTAAATCCATGGAATATCATAATACAAAACAAACTAGAATTAAAACATGAGAAAGAAAATTCCACTTAAATTACCAAAGAATCAAACTCTTTTCTTTTTCAGTTTGAAATATGTCTGATCATTCATTAAATTTCCCTAAATATATGGAGGAAACATAAAATTTTCGAGACCAACAATGCTCATGCATTCGAATATGAGAATGCACAAAATGAACAGGCCTTTTTAGTCACTATTTATAATGGAAAAAGGATGCCTCGTGAAATAATTGAAATAGCTTCCCAAGACCACCTGACCAAGTTCAGCTTACAAAATGACGTCCCTCCATCCAAAGATTAACTATGCTTTAACTAATAAAATCCAAAAACTCTACAAAAACCACTTTGTTGAAGTCAGAATTACAAACACCATGAAAACTAGTTTATCTTTCTATAATAAGCTCTCTAAATCTACATGTAAAATAAAGAAGATTTGATTTTTTTTAAAGAAACAAAGCGGAAGGGAAAAAAAAGGCAGAAGGAAACAAATCTCAAACGTTCAAATGCAGATAATAGTAAGTTGAAAGAGAAGCCAAATACAGAATCTAAAATTTGTACAGCTCACCAAATGAATGAAGAACAACAATAAGGCTTGGTGTTGAAGATAACGATTGAGAAAATGCCGAAAATAGGTCCACCGTCAGAAACCGACCATAAATCCTTTAACACCAAGCATCTTCTAAGTCAATCTTGTAGCATCCATAACAAACCAAGCTGAACCCTTAAAATCCAGAGAAAAAGGGGGAAAAAAACCGTGTAATCCTAAGCTAATGTCAGCAATAAACACAAACCTAGGAGTCGTGTACAATCACAAGTGCTGCTATCGAACAAAGATGGGGATTGTTGGAGGAATATTAACTTCTGAAAAGCAAAAAAAAAAAAAAAAAAAAAAGGCAGAACATGGAACAAATGTAGAAAAGGAAAAGAGAGGGAAAGACGAGAAAAAATACAGAGGAACAACGAGGTGTGGAAACGTAAAAATCTAAAGAGGGGATGGATTGAAGAGATAAGTGCACCAAAGCGTTGGTGGAAGAAGGAGGAGGAGGAGAAGAAGCGCAGGGGAAGCAAAAATAAGAGAAAAAAGAAAAAGAGAGAACTAAACAGGGAACGTTAGTGATACAATTGGTAAAAATTGTAAGTGCTAAACTCTAAATTAACAAAAAGTTCTTCTTATATACCCCTCCCAACACAAAGAGATTTCCCATTTATACGAATCACTCCTAACGAAGATTCTTCCAGAAACAGCAAATTGGAAATAACGAAAAAAAGAAATGGAAATAGCAAGATTCAGTTAGGGAGATCCACTTTTCTCGCAACAGAATCACGCCCTCACAAAGTCGTTGAATTTGCTGGGCACCTTGCGAACTCTGACCTCACGCGAATGGCCCTCATCAGCTCCCAGGCGCTTTGCTGCTTCTCTTTCCTCTTTGCTGATGCCTCCCTCTAAACGACTCGTCGTATCCGCTGGAAGCTCCTCCCCGTGGGCCTTAGAGTCAGCCCACATCCTCAACTGCTCTTGAACCCGAGGCCCATCAAGTACCAGGCCAGCCCAGCTATCACTCCCCTCCCATCAACAAAGACCTTGTCCTCAAGGTCGGGCAGGTTGTACAGCTTGCTGAACTCGGTGAGTACCTCCCAGGTGGCATCTTCCAGGGGACTGTGAGACCACTGGACAAGCACCTGCTTCACCGGTTGTCCCCTTATGAGCATGTTGCGGCCAGCCAAAATAGCCAGCGGAGTTACCATTGGCCTATTGGTCTGACTTAACTCCGGGAGTGGGTAGCTGATTGGATTCGAAGCCTCCCCCTTGAAAGCCTTAAGTAAGGACACATGAAAGGTGGGATGAATTTTGCTTCCCTGAGGTAGCCTGAGAGTGTACGCCACAGGCCCCACCCGAGCAAGGACTGGGAACGGACCGAAGTAGCGTCGACAGAGCTTCGAGTTCAGGCGCTTGGCCACTGTGGTCTGCCTGTACGATTGGAGTTTAACCAGAACTAGTTCACCTACCTGGAACTGCATGTCCTTACGTTTTCGGTTGGCCATTTGCTGGATCCGGTTTTGGGCACGTGACAAGTTCTGTTTCAAACTTTGTAAAATGACGTCTCTGGTGTAGAGACTCTCTTCCACTGCCTAGACTGGTGAAGAACCTCGCACATAGGAGGGTATGGTTGGAGGAGGTTGCCCGTATAAGGCCTGGAACGACAACATGCCAATGGTCGAGTGATGGCTAGAGTTGTAATGATACTCCGCCCAACTCAAATATGTAAACCACTGCCTACGGTTCTCAGTAGTAAAAGCCCGTAGGTACTGCTCTAAGTAGCGATTCAACACCTCTGTCTGACCATCTGTCTAGGGGTGATAAGCGGAGCTCATCCTCAGCCTTGTGCCCATGAACTCAAACAATTTCTGCCAAAACTGGCTAGTGAAGACAGGGTCCCGATCGGAAACGATTGTCCGTAGAAGTCCGTGCAGCTTGATAACCATGTTACAGAATAATTCAGCCATTTTGGTAGCCGTGTAATTTGTTGGCAACCCCCCAAAATACGCATACTTAGTGAGTCGATCAATGACCACTAAAATTGTAGTATTTCCCTTATAAGGTGGCAGCCCGACGATGAAGTCAAGGGCTAAGTCCTCCCATACCCTCTCAGGAATCTCTAATGGCTGGAGCAAACCATATGGTGCGGTGGTAGAGTATTTGATGGATTGGCAAGTTGGGCACTTGGCCACAAACTCCTTCACATCACGACGCATCCCAATCCAGAAAAAATTGGTAGCAAGCCGCTGGTATGTTTTTTCAACCCCTGCGTGTCTTCCTGTTTGGGATTCATGGAACTCCTAGAGCATGAGTTCCTTCAAGGCTGACTCCCTACTGAGGAAAAACCGGTTCCTATGCATCATCATTCCATCCCTCACCGTGAATGAAGGATCCTCCAAATTTCCATCTTGGAGCTATTGCTGTAATGCTCTCAGGTCAGCATTTTTTAGGTTCTCCTTCCGCAGGTCCCCCAAGAAATGGTATTGCCCTATCGACAGAGCAGCTATCATGTGTGGCCAGTCCGACTCATGGCGCCTGGATAAAGCGTCAGCTGCTAAGTTTTATGCCCCTGCCTTGTACTCGATTGTAAAATGGTATCCCAATAATTTCCTTAAATAGTGCTGCTGCTCGGGGATCTGTATGACTTGAGTCATTATCTCTTTCAAACTGTTGTGATCAGTACGGATAATGAAGTGCCTGCCCAAGAGGTATTGACGCTATTTGGCCACGGATTCCACTACCACCCTTAACTCGCGCAAGTAGGCTGAGGCTGCCATCATCCTCAGTCCCAATTTCTTGCTGAAAAACACCACCGGATGTCCTTCCTGTTGGGAATGGTGTTCTAGAAGCATAAGATGTAATATTATATTTATTATTTATTTAATAAAAGAGTTTATTCATTATTTTATGTACATATATTTATGAATATTTTATGAATATCAATAAAATTTTCATGATAATTTATGTGACCTTAAACATTGTATATAAGTGTTATATATGAGAGGATAATGTTTAAGGATAATAATCAAAAAGCAATGTTCATAATGAATTTAATTAAAGTTCAGAATCTTTAATTAAAACATTATTAATACATGTTATTCCCATTTAGAATGGAACGATGTTATCCGCACTGTTAATATGGCGAGATATTGAATGAGTGTATTTCGCATAATGAGATTATGTGGAACAAGGACACAGACACAATATGAATTTCTAATAATTTCCGTTAAACATAGAAATTTTAATTGAGTCTATTGATGGTCATACATAGAATGATCTTAATCATGAGTTCTTAACAGACTCCTATTTATGGATTTGTGTCTTTTGATTTACTCGGTACGGATTCTGAGATCCTGAATCATATTCCTTGTATTTTGGAGATATGATGAAGTAGGTAGCCGGGAATGTTATTATGCGAGATGGAATCCATTCCTTTTTGAGAAAGAAGTAGATAAATAATTCTCTTGAGGGTTGATTCGGTACTTGGACTAGTAGGAGCTCCGATTCATGAATGTGTTTTATGAATCACTATCCATTAGAGAATCAATGGTACTCAAGGATAAAGATTTAATTAGAGCGAATTAATAAAATTAATTAATTAATTAAAGTGTTTAATTAATTATTAATTTTATTGGAGCTCGGGATTATAGGTCCATTAGTCCCCGCGTCGTCCTAATAATTCTACCAGACACAAAGGACAAAATGAGAATTTTAGAATTACAGAATTCTAAAATTAAATACTCAAAAATAATTAATTGAGAATTAATTATTATTTAAATAATGTGATTATTTAAATTTGAATTTGAACACATATAGATTTATCCATTTAAACTTATTTGATAAGTTGTTCAATTTAGAATTCAAATTAATTTACGTTTGACTTAAATTGGAATTTGAATTTGAGTCAAAATTGGACTACAGGATAAAGGATGAATTTCCCTTCCTTTCCTATATGATATTGGCGCCACACAGGGATGATAATCCCCATCTTGGCCGGCCACACTAAGGGATAAGGGAATATGAATTTTTGTTTAAAATTCAAATAGGAGATAATTAACAAGCTTTATCTTGGAGATAGAGATTAGATTCATTCTAGAAGTTTGACTTCTACTACATAAATAAGAGAAAGTAGAAAATTATGGATACAATTTTTGAGATAATTTTCGGAATGGATTTTTGCCCTAATTTTAGAGGTGGCCGAAATTTCCCTATAGAAAGAAGGAAACAAAATTTTCTCTAAAAATTCCACATCATGCATGCGTTGGTGTTTGTGGAAATTTGAGTGTTTATTGCAACCCCTTTTTGTCTCATGTGTGCCCACACACACGTCTTCATGGATTCTAGGAATTAACGTGGAAGACATTGGTTTTCTAAACATAAAGCTTTGGAGCAAGGATTGTTCGAGGTCAAAGAACTCAAGTTATGATCCGCGGCGACCTCCAGGTATTTTTCCTAATTGAGTTCTTAATAAATGAATTAATGAGATTAATTTATTCGTGCATAAATTATTATAATCTATAGAGTATCTCAAAAGTTTTAAGAAAATTTTTGTTATACACGATCCTCCTCCTCCCCCGCCACGCTTCCGCATCCAAATTCGATTCGGAGACCAACACTTTCTGCATCAACACTCCTCCGATTCCCACCTTAGACGCGTCCGTCTCCACTACAAATATTTTTGAGAAGTCGGGTAGGCATAACACCGGGGTCTCCATCAGGGTTTTCTTCAACTGTTCAATGGCCGCTATTACCCTATCTTCCCACTTGAAATTATCCTTTTTCAATAGCTCGGTAAGGGGAGCAGATATGGTTGCATAGTGGGCTACAAATCTCCTGTAGTACCCAGTAAGTCCCAGGAACCCCCGCAATTGTTGCAGATTTTTTGGTTATGGCCAACTTGTCATGGCCTCAATCTTGGACGGATATGCCTGGACCCCCTCTTTCGAAACCATGTGCCCCAAATACTCAATGGAGCTTTGGAAGAATTGACATTTACTTCCCTTGGCGAAGAAACTGTGCGACAAGAGACATTGTAACACCGTTTGCAAGTGTTGGACATGCTCCTCCAAGCTTGTGTTGTAGACCAATATATTGTCGAAGAACACAATCACGAACTTCTGCAAGTATGGCTTGAAGATCTAATTCATAGCTGCCTGAAACGTAAAAGGGGCATTGGACAGGCCAAACGGCATCATGACAAATTCATAGTGCCCATCGTGCGTATGAAACGCCGTCTTGTGCACATCCCTATGGTCCATCCGGATTTGGTGGTATCCGGCTCTAAGATCCAACTTGGAAAATACCACCGCTCCGCCTAGCTCATCTAGGAGCTCGTCTATGGTTGGGATTGGGAAATGATCCCTGATAGTGACGGCGTTGAGGGCCCTATAATCGATACAAAACCTCCATGTACCATCTTTTTTCTTGACCAACAACACTGGCAAAGAATAAGGGCTGCTGCTGTGTCTTATGAACCCATTCTCCAGCATTTCCTTGACAATCTTCTCCATGACATCTTTCTGAAAATAAGGGTACCTATAAGGCCTAACGTTCACTGGAGACGTCCCCGGCTGCAAATGTATCCTATGGTCCACATTACTTATAGGCGGTAGCTGTTTTGGCTCTTCAAAGACGGCCTGATATTGCTTGAGGAGCCCACATCCCAAACTTGGCAAGGAACCATCCAATTAGTCTAGTTCATCCTCCTTCGACTCCCCAATCGACCCTACTCTTTCTGCGACTGCTTTTACCCTGTACACGCTACTCACTGCTCCGCCATGAATTAAAGCACTGAATTGGGTGAATGTTAACTGCCGAGTGGGCAAAATACTGCTGCCT